TTTTTTTGTCGAGAAAACAATTATTTTTGATAAACTTTCAATTTGAATTATTTGTAGCTACATATTAAGTAACAGAACGAAAAACAGCTTCTTGAAAAAAAATTCACACAGTTTTGCATTCCGATTGACTCCTCAATACTTTCTATTTTCTTATATAATATCTGGCGAGTTTTACACAACGCACTATTTTTATCTATGCAGAGTCAGAATTAGCTCCTAATTTGAATCTTTGATTAACAAAAAATAATAAAATCCTTCAACTTACGTTCATGAAATCGAACAACTGTCCCGTGTACGTGCAAAGAATAGTTATGTCTTTGGGGCTGTAGCCTTGCATCAACAAATGCTTGGCAAACGCAGAAAAGAATTCAACCTCGTTTTTGTTCACCCAACTCTCGTCCATTTCGTGACTTTCCTCGCTTGACGTATGATTAAGAAAAAACAAATTCTTGTCCAAACCTTTGACACACGGGTAACTCAAAACGGATTTGTGATTGTACAGGTTTTCATAAATCGGGGACACCAATTTTGCGATTTCAGGGCGCATTCGGTGCTGATGCGCCAATTGCGGACACTCTCCTCTTATGTTGACCATTCGCTCGAACAGCGATACATTCAAATTGTACTTCGACCCTAATTCGTATACACATGCCTTTGGGCGTAACTGCTTGTGATCCCCAATCAATATCAACTGTTGGCAATGTTTTGTCAACGCGCAAACAACATGAGCTTCTAAAATTTCTGCGGCTTCTTCAACCAGTACTTTGAAAAAAATAAATAAATAAATTTTAATCTAAATTTTAAACACATGTTGCGCTAAGAAAAATTTAAGATAAATTATTCAAGCACAAAATATAAGTACCTATGGGTGCTCCTAGAGCTCGCAAAGACTGCTGCATTTGGGCAGCACCAGTGGTCGTAATTCCAACAACTTCATGGCTTCTCATAATTCCATAATTTTCAATATGTTTCACTTGCTTTAATTGCATATTCAACATGTGATGATTCTTTTCCAGTTCAGTTATTATGCTGATAATTTTATTGTAGCACTGTTCGATCCATGTCCAATAATGCTGCCAGCGCGAAATGTTTGTCAACCGTTTGGTCTTATTTATCAGGGGATGGCACTCTAGTTCGTTCTAAACACTCAGATTTTATTAGTTATTAATTTCAATCAATAAGTTTTTAATATTACAGAGGTAGGATAAACAATGAAGCTTGTATTTATTGTATTTTGCAAACTAAGTATGAATGTAAATTTCAATAAATAGAAATGAAAATTTTGAGTTAAGTAAATGTATTGTTTAATCAATTAATAATCATATGAGATTTAATGAGATTTATTAATAAAATTTTTTTTAAATGTTAAGAGTAAGAATTTGCATAGTCAAAAGTATGCGTACCTTCAGGATGATTTTATTTTTATCCAATTTATTGATCCGGTCCTGCTTTTGTCTTATAGTCCTTAAAGGTCCAAAGGTTTCGTTGGTGAGCAAAGATTTCAGTTCTTTATCAATAATATCAAAAATATCAATTGGTCCACGAATATATACAGTTGTATCATGTTCAGGTGTAACATTAGCAGTTTCATCAAAAAAATCGCCAAAATCTTTGTTAATGAAATAAGTACCGGCTGCAAAGCCATTATTTTTTAAGCTTGCAATTTCATAGTCAGTAAGTTCATTCGCTGCTAGAGACACCTCCAATCCAAACAGCCAATTCACTAATTGTTCAGAGTTCGCGAATCTTCGACAAGGAATGCCACATCTGCAGGCATAAAAAACTTCCAGTGGGACAATACAATTGGCAGTGGTAAAATATTTCAGAAGCTGATGCAACTTTTCTACAGATTTCCTGATTTCCACCATTTGAGTCTTTTTCAACACACTATCAAAATATTTATTCTCTCTTTGAAACATCTTACGCTTTTCCGTGATCAAGTACGGCTTCAAATTTTCACTTTTCGACCTACTACCTGCTCGAACTACTGATTTCGTGTAGCTAAGAATTCCCTCCAAAAACTGATCCAGCGCGTGATTCGTCAGGCAAACAACGACTATTGGACCATAGTTGAGCCACTTAGACTTGTTGTCCAACAATGTACGAATAATTTGCAGAGCTAAGAACGTTTTTCCGGTCCCCGGTGGTCCTTGGATTATTGCCAATTCTTGAGTTAACGCACTTTTGAAAGCTCGATACTGCGACTCATCGAACTTTAACTCTTCAGCACTTGGCCATTCGCCATCATCGGTTTTCAAAGGCAATAAAAAATTATCTTTGAACTTCAACGATGTCTTACCTTCAAGATAATGAGGTAATCTGGTCGTGGTGTCACACTCGATGAGATACCTTTTCATAGGGAAATTGTGCTCGTTCATATTTTTCATCGCGTTCAATATAACGAAGTACGGTTCAAAGTATATTTTCGACTCCAACAGAACCAAATTGCAATCGTACATGTCCTGCCCAACGACGGTTCCCAAGCAAAGCTCGATCCTTACGATTCCTTCAGCCAACTCTTTTTCGTCCCGATTGGCCACCGTGGCGAAAACGATCGTCTTGAAATTATCCTTGCTCAGGAGCAACAGTCCTCCGAACATGAAACGCTTGGAACTTTTCCAATTGACGAAATTCAGTTTACCAAAGTACAGTTGAATGCCAGCATTCAAATTGCTCGCCTTAGAATCCATCAATTTGGCACGCCTGTAGATACGCAAGCCGTTGTTCCGGCGTTTTCGGTCGCTGTCTAAGTACTCTTTGATTCCGTTTCGCAAGGGCCGAACAAAGTCTTCGCGGAGCAATCGAAACTGGGTGTCCAAGTATTGCTCCACGGAATCGTAAGCATCTTTGACGTTGCAGGGTCTGAGATCCGGTTTTCTGTCGAAAAAATCTGCGATGGTTGGTATCACGCTTAAAGTTCGGTAATCTTGAAGCACCAAGTTATTTCCCCTACTTTTTTCATCCACAGTTGAGTTTTCCACGTTTCGAATTTCCATTTGTAAATCACAAATCATGCTCGATACGTCGTCCTTGACTTTGTCGTCTACACTGTAATTCTGAGTACTTTCGATGCTGGAAATGATCACCTTTGCTTTTTCCAAAACAGATGTCAATTTGTCACCGGCCGTACGAGGCATGAGCTCAACGACTTTTCGAAACAAACCAACCAGATTGGACCAAAATCTAAATCAATCGATAACCGTTAAGAAACGTGCTACTGCAATGGCATTTGAAATACATGTAGTATTGATGAACAAACCTGTTAGTGTCTGCATAATATAATTGATTGGTTTTTTTTCTGATGAACTTTCGAACGGTAAATTTGTGATATAACTTTCTAAATTTTTCAAAAATATGTTCGAACAGACTTGATTAAAAACTCGTATCATGATGACTGAAAAATTGGCCTTGCAAATACTGTCTAAAACTCTGAGCGTCGTTACAAAAATATCCGGGCTCATGTTGTTGCTCATTAAAATTTGAAAATCGCTTTCATTTTTTTCTATGTACGTCATTGCATCTTCGCTAGATACCCCATGCAAGTTTATCAAATTTTCCAAATTAAAGGACGTTTTATCGCGTTTATATCTTTTGTTTCCTGGCCTTGAAACATACAATTTGCTATAAAAAAAATTTATTTATTTATAATTAAATTAATACAAGCATCAATAAAAAATAAAAAAAATGATTATCAGAACTCGATATCTATATGCAATCATACTTACTTGGAACTTGAGAACTTTGACACTCTGTCATTCGATACATTACTACTGGCACAATGTTTTATGTTACCTTGCTTCTTGACATTGTGATGTTCATCTGAAAAAATATATTACCCTTCACATGAGACAGTGCCTAAATTTTACGAAAGTATATAACCTCTTAGGAAAAAATTATTCTGCACGTCAATAAAATTAAAGAATAATCTAAAAGTTAAAATAAAAATTTATAGTATTAAGTAACCGTTGTTTAGATTTAGAAAAATATTTAGTTTATGTCTGCAATCCTTGGTATTTATTTATTTTCTTTTCATTGTTTTTTTATTGTTAAATATTAAAGACATATTTCAATTAGAACATCGAGATTTTGTTAAATGCATGGTATTTATCATAGCAGAAGATTACGGAAATAGTAAAAAAATTCGCATAGTTCTGAAAAAGTAAGATTAGTTTTTTTTTGTCACCCAAGTGTATAATAGAATTTCCATTTGGGTGCTTCTATGAGAATAAACGGTATATATTGTTTCGTTTCAGTACTGCAACGACTTCATTTTTTTTATAATTCTTTATCAATTATTTAATTAATCAAAGTAGTGTAATGGTTAGTAAAATTGATAGTTCAAAATGAAGAAAAAAAGGAATGAATGATGTCAAGAAAGCACAAATATTCAATTGAAAATTAAAACTCGATTAAACAAAGAAAAAAATCAATGTAAGTACTCAAATTTTCTTTCTGAGTTTATACAACGATTTATAAAACGATTAAATAAATTAAAAAATTTATTAGTTAACGTCGGCTTATAATTCTCATTAGATTTTTTTTGGTGGTTGGTTTCTTAATTTAAGTTTATTTAAGTATGTTTTTTCTTAATACATGTTGTATGTAAACCCATAAACGCACATGTAAACACAACTTTTACACAACAATTTGAGAACGTTTTCCAGTCGAAATGTGTTACTCATTTTTATCTAAAACTTATACTTATTGCTAATATTATAGTAAGTATGTAACTAAAGAATGAATATTGCCGTTTGCGCACTGGCACGAAAAAAAAAGTTACAGCGATACTCCGTTAAGTACTAATATCATACGTGTATAGTAAGTATAACACGTGGTGGTATTTGCGTACAATAATTATGTCCACCGTCTTGCAATTTTCTTTTCTTCATTGCTACTGTATCCAAGTAATGGTTGCCAGCTTCGCCTTTGACAGCCGGTGGACTGATTCACTCGTTACTTACTGGAAAAAAGAAAAAAAATGTAAAACGTCACAGATTAGAAAACTTCAACTTCAACAGACTGTTCTCTACAAGCAAAAATGATACTAAGAACTGACTGCTGACTCACGACGTTCTTTGTTCTGTGGCAAGTAGAATTCTTGACCACCAAAGTTGTCGTATATACAGTTGTCACTGGCGTCTATTTTATATTTCTCTCGATGTGAGCTCTCTATATGCATTTATTGTTTGATATTTATATACTCATAAGATAATTTAAAAAACCATACTTGCAAGCAAAATGTAAGCTACTTACACTTACAATTCTGGTAGATGATGAGAAAGTCGTCACTCGTCACTGTTCTTAAAGTTTTAGTTATATGCGGTGTAAGTGTAAACTCCGTCTAATTGTTAAACACCTATACTTATAACTGAACGAAATCATAGATTAGTAGACTCTGACGAAATGAATATGGGCAAAAAAAAAGGACTCTCGCTTGCACGTTTGCACAGAGAAAACAAAAGTCGGCTGAGGGGGAAGCACCGAAACAGTGCCAGACTGCCATAGTGTGTGTCACGTGTGTGTGCACACCTGCACATGTATGTACACTCACCGTACCTTGATTCGCAAACCGCGAAGTTTGAAGTCTTAAATTTTTTTATGACAAATAAACATAAAATATGATATTAACATTGTTCAATAGTTTTTAATATAATAGTTGTTTATCGTTATATTTTTATTTTATGGTTATGGTTGTTCCTCGTGTTTTAATACGATAAATTACTTCAAGAATTCAAACTTTGCGGTTTGCGAATCAAGGTACGGTTGCACTCGAGGTGTTGGCGCGCCCGGTACCCGGTATCTGCCGGTACAGTAGGGGTGTGCTCAAGTAGCGCTCTCCGACAACTTACTGACAACTTAAACATGACGCAAGATATCGTAAGACATAATTAAGTTGTCCGTAAGTTGTCGGAGAGCGTCACTGGAACAGACACCCTAGGTCGAAGAGAACAGTCAAATATGTTTGGCGGATAATCGCCATGTAGAAAAATACGCCATAGAAAAATTCAAAACTTGTGGGTGATACTTTAACAAAATAAAGTTGAAAGGATTCTGCAAATATTTTTCTTTTGTTCATCAATGATACATAATGAAAAATAAATTTTTATTTTTATAAAATAATATTTCACATTTTTTATCGTATTATTTACATCGCATTTCATAATGGAATACAAAATTAACCTATGTCATGGTCGATAGTCATGTGTCTACTTTTCTACACTGACAGAAAAAAAGGAGTCATAGTAGCTATCATTATTTGATAACATCTACTACACGACTTTTGAGGTGGTTGACTAACGATGTGTAGTAGATTCAACTAAACGCTGTTCTTAGTAACGAGCTTAGTAAGAAGCACGTACCTATAATGCCGTGCACATGGAGAACACAAACATATAAATATATGTATCGAAGCCGAGGTGGCGTTACTGCATGAGTTTTGTCGATAACCACACAAAAAAATTCTTCAGTTAATTGTTGAATAAAAACTGCATCAATTTTCTTCGAACACAGCTCAATAGCTTCCATTTTCAAATTTGCCTGATTTAATGCGGAATTGAATGCGTGATCAAACGTTTGGCACAAAAGACGGGCTCTTTTAAGGTTATGAATTCTTTTAATATATTTTCGCTTTCTTCCGTGTAAAAGTGCCAAGAAATTTTGTACATGGACTATACTACTTACATTTTTCTCTCAGTGTATAGTTTAAACTCCGAACGCAGAACGGTAAAATGGTTTCTACAAATCCAACAACTATTTCGGATTCCCGGATTTTTATACGAATACTATAATTTTTATAATGAATAATAATTTTTCAAAAATGACTAAGGACGATAATTTTACATAATATAATATTTACAAGAAATTGATAGAGAAATAGGGCATGAGTTTTTCAACTAAAAAACAAAAACTTGATAAAACCAGTTTTTAAATTGATTAATAGTAGTGACTGCTTAGTTATAAAATTTTTTACATATCATAGTACATTTATTTATCTTTTATATTTTATTTTGTGTCTAAATAAGAAACGTTCAACAAAGTTTTTATTTTGTTACATTTTCTAAAAACAAAAAATGATTGTGTAGTAATGATTCACAAACCGTTTACTTCTACTTGTAATCCGCAAATATCATTGAGGCTTTATTAAACTTTTTGTTGTTTATGTTGTAACGTCGATAAACTAAAATTACTAATTATTTTTTTCCCCGCTTGTTTCTTCAGAATTTTCCATGTTGACTTAAAAGTGACTTCGAACAGGGACCAACGTACAATTGAAAAGAGATGAATCATCTGCAAAACTCTATTCGTAGCTGCATCAGCACATCGACCAACTATGATTCATGCAAACACACGTTGGCCTATGCTGACAGGAAACGAAAAGCAAACAAGTTAACAAAATACTTATCAATACAGAGAAATGAAATAACTTTAAAAACTAATAGAGGCAAAAAGTCCAACTGGAACAGCTGAACTGGGGTGCAATCATAGAGATACAAGGATAGAGTGTTATTAAAAATTAAATGTTATTATGTAATTTAATCTTATTTTAACTAATAATAAACTTAATTGAAAGTGTAGCTTTTCACTCAACAATCAAATTAAAGACTTTATTAAAACATGAACAAATCATACAATTAACATTGATTCCTAAGTAAACAATAATATTATCTAGATTTTATTGAATTAATTAGAGCCATTCCTAATTAAAATAATCGTAATTATTTTATGCCCTTGATGTAGTAATCGAGAATATGGTTACAAAATTTTATAACTAATACATAGCCAACTTGGCCATGTACTTTTATTTTGCCATATTTTCATCGCAGTCAATCGCAGCTCAACTGAAATCAATCTCTGCAGAGCAAAAGGGGCCATTCGAAAAATCCACAATAGCCGTAGGCACCCGCGCGGGCGATCACTATTGTAGGTACACTCGATCGAATATTCGAAAACCGAACAAGCTATTGTCCACATGTATATGTATACAACCAAGCGGTCCATCATTGCGACACAGCACTCGTAATACCTGCACTGCGGGCACTTAAACGCGATAATTCAATCAGCCATCAAATCGTCGTACTTAAGCATTACCGTACGTCAACGTCACTTTCACTTCCTTCGTCGATTTTGTATATTTATGCGCTACCCCCTCGAGCACGCCTTCCCTTTTTTCATCTCTCTTTCACTCATTCTCAAACTAGCAGCTCATCAACGTGTCTGTATAGTTGTTGTAGACTTTTGTTACCTATAGATCGGTAATTTCGCGTCTATCGCATAAGTGGACTCGCGAAAATTTTTCGGCCACTTGAGATTTTTTTATCTCGTATCTGTTTTTCGAGCGATCGGTGATGTGGATTAACAAAATTTGTTTGGATGCATTTGTAAAATCTTATACGTTTTTTTGATCAACTGTTTTTTTTTGTATAGATTTTGCGGAAATCTTGAATTTTCTTGTGGTTCAGTT